CCCTCTGCCCCCTCTCCTGAAGTGGCAGCTGCCTCTGATATGTCACATTCCTTGGCTGGGCTCCCCCTCTCTGCGCCTGCTGCCCCGTCCCTGCAGCCCAGCTCCACTTGCAAAGATAGAAAAGGGCCAGCACCTTTCCATATTAGCTGAGAGGCTCGGGGGGGACCCAGCCTTCCTCCCCCGCTTCCCCTTCTCCGGCAGTGTCATTGGATCAGGGCAGAGAGACCCTGACGGCATGTGCAGGGAAAGGACACCGTCATGCTTCCTGCAACGCAAGACCCCGGGCGGGAGCCAGCCCTTCAGGGCCCCCTAGCTCCGTTCCCAGCAGACAGCAGAGGTGGGGATCCCAGCATCCCTGATCACCACAAATCCTCCCTGCTCGGGAGGCTGCAAACGCATCAAGACCCCGTTTCTCTCGCTGGGCCGCTGCCTCTGCCGCGGGCAGTGTAGCTCCCGGCCAGCCCTGCTGGAGCTGCTCGGCTTTGGGGCGCCCTGTGGCAGGTGCCACACGCCGGGCTCCAGGCAGCGAGCAGTCAGGGATGGCGTGTGCCAGATGCTGCCTGGCTATCCTTGGACAAGGCAGGGCTTCCCCATCTCCTGGAGCCATGGTGACGCCTCAGCTCCTGGCCCCAGCCGCCCTCGCCAGGGGCAGTAAATCTGTGTGAGCAGGACGCCAGGGACACGCCACGGTGCTTCCCAGCTGCAGGCCAGCCCCGACCGCTTTGGCACAGCCCATTGCCACCAGCCTAAGGATGCCAGCATCACTGAAGCATCACTAGAAAGGAGAAAATCCCAGGATTTCCCAGCTTGCATGGCTGGGGCACAATGGAGTGGAATGCCTTGCTAGACCCACAGCCTGGCTGCAGAGTGGCTGAGCCAGCCCCAGAAGAGGCCTGGGGGTCTCTTCCCTGAAAGCAAAGGAATGTTTTGTCCCCAGCCTGCCCCCAGGGGCTGAACTCTGGCACGGCCAGCCTGGGCCGGGGGGAAGGGAAGTGTCATCCCAAACCAAGGCAACCTGGGGACTGTCCTCGATGTCACAGGGCCACCTGCTGGAGATATCCCTTGAGATCCAACACTTCCCAGCTGGGGTTTGTCGCGCTGGCCTCTCCATCAGGGACACCCCCGGGCCACTCCCCACTGCTGGCAGTAGGACAGGCCTTGTCCCTAAACCATGACCGCCCACCAAGCCCACTGCCCTCCCTGGCATCTGCTGCCTGGCAGAGTTTTGTGGACCCTCCAACATCTTCCAGAGCAAAGCAATCCTGAATTGCTCTCCCACATGGGATACTCAAATCTGGGTTCCACTGCAGCATCCCCCAGTGCTGGGATGAAGGAGCTGAAGCCAAGATGCCCACAACCTGACCACAGGGAGAGGGGCACGTGTGTTGGGAGGAAGAGAGCATATGGCATTGGCAGGTTGAGGCTGGAGGTTGAGCCTGGGATGTAAGCATAGGATGGTGGGTCTGATGCTCTTGACCAGGAGGTGACTTAGTGATGAGGATAGCTTTTCTTGCAGGTTGGTGATACTTGGAGGGGCTTGGAAAAGTCCTAGGCAGATGTGGATTTGGGTAGGTCTCAAGTGGGGGAAAAAGGAGGTGGCTGTGGAGCTGAGAGCCACCAGGAGATGGTATGTGACCCTGGGTGTGTGTGGGAGATACAGGATCATCACCCAGAGCCCCTTCGAACCTACTCAGGGCTTAGCTGTCACTGTTCCCTGTCCCAACAGGACTTTCCCACCCAGTGCAACTGAGAAACACACCACCTCAGGCAGCAAAATGCTCGAGAACCTTCCATGTGAGAGTCACACACCTTTTGGGGGTCCCAGCAGCCTAGGGAGGAGACAGCCCAAAGAGTTGCTGGCTCATCCATCCACCTGGCCCTTGTGACGCCTCCCCCAGGTGTTGCCTCCCCACCACTCCATCCCCTCTCTGCCCCAGAGATGCACCGAGACGACAGAGTGATGCTCCGCTGTTTATTTCAGCCGCCTGAAGAGTCTCATACACGTGGTGGGGTGGGGGTGCATTGGGGCGAGGGTTGGGGATGCCTGCCCTGGCCCCCCGGGCCTCTCTCCAGCTCCTCTCATTCTCTCCCCCCTCTCTGCCATTCACTCACTCCTCCTCTCTCCTGTGTCCACCTACGGGTGCCCTCTCGGCTCACGGGCCTGGCCCCGTGCAGCCTCCTGCTGCTGGGGGTCCCCGCCACGGGGAGGGGCGGGCACTGCCCTCCTCTGCCCCACGGGACTGCCTCTCGGGCCGGGGGGGACACGCAGGCTGGGGGTCCCCTCGCTCTGAGCTGGGCAGAGAACAGGGGGCTCAGCCTAGCTTCTCCCCA